ATCGTTATGCTTACAACGTCGCGTCCGTTACAATGTCGATTATTGGCTTCAAATCGTCCGTTATTTAAGAGACGATCATCTGAAAATACATTCCCTGAATCGTGCTCAGATCATCGACGACGCGTATCATTTAATGATGACAGACCAACTGCATTAAATAAACTTTACATACTTCATTCGGTACCTAAGCAAAGAACATTATTTCTTCCCATGGCATTCTATGATAAACGTTCTGTAGTGTACGTCGCCTTTCTTCGGCTTGCCGGAAAGTCAAGTTTTCAAGATATATCGCGATAGAATAAAAATTGCTTGGTATTACAACGTTCGACATAAAATACGCTCAAATAATGTATATGCATAATGTATGCATGTACGTAGGTTGCTCTGAAAGTTTTTGCGATTCGGTTATCTCTCATATGATGGCGTTGTCGACAATATTTATTTCGAATACTTTCACATTTTTTTATGCCGAATAGCTATGACAGATTAGTAAAATTTTTTTTTCTATTTTTACAGTAGTTTCGCAGAAAATCATTTTGATACATTGAATGGAGTTAACACGAGAACATTATCGAGCGATGATTTTCTACGATTTTGAAGAGGAGCTGACTCAACAACAGTGCTCGCGAAAAAATCAAGCGATTGTTTGGCGATGAAGCATCATCCTTGGCAACTGTTGAACGGTGGTTTAACGAATTCTGCGAATAAGCGTGGATGTGTTTCGCTCAAAGACGAGCATCTTGAAGAACGGCCTGCCACTGCAATCACTGCAGGAAACATCGATGCCGTGCGTACCATAATAGAGGCAGATAACTACTGCATGCACAGAGATATTCAGGCATCCTTAGGCATAGGTATAACCCAAATCAAAATCATTTTACATGATCGTAAGGAAGTCATCTTATCGTAAGGAAGTTTTGTGCTCGATGGATATCACACAATTTAACGTAAGCTCAAAAGAAAGCGCGTATGAACTGGTGCAAGAAAATGATCGAGAAATTCAACCGAGGCCAGGCAAAATCAGTGTTTAACATCGTAACGGATGACGAAACTTGGATTTGTTGTTACGAGTCAGAAAGTAAGCGACAGTCGGCTCAGTGGATCTTTCAAGACGAAGAGAAACCTACGAAAGTGAAATGCGGACGAAGCTTTGGCAAGAAGATAGTGGTTTCTTTCTTCAGACGCATGAGTCATGTTGTCACTATTCCATTAGAGGGCCGCCGTACAGTCAATGCCGAATGGTACACCAGCGTTTGTTTGCCAACTGTTTTCGAAAAAGTACGTGAGAAACGATCAAGAGGACGAATCCTGTTGCATCGAGACAATGCACCATCACACAATGCAGCTCAAACAACAGAGTTTTTGGCCGGATCAGAAATGAAAGTGATGACTCATCCGCCTTATAGTCCAGACCTAGCACCTTGTGACTTCTTCCTCTTCCCAATAATTAAAGGCAAAATGCGTGGATTGAAATTCATCAACTCGGAAGCGACGGTGGAAGCCTACGAAAACCTTTTTTCTGAAGTGGATACAAAATAGTGGGCCCGGTGTTTTCAAGACTGGTTCCGCCGGATGCAGAAGTGAATAGATCAAGAAGGCGGATATTTTGAAAAACAACAGAAAAAATTTTGTTAAAATAATTGAAGTTTACTTTGTCATCCGTAAAACTTTCAGAGCAACCTACGTATGTATGCGTGTATGTAAAACGCATCGAAAATTATTTTTCCGCACGTGTAAAGTTTTTCCTATTGGTAAAATCGTACGGAAGTGATTTTTTTAGGATTACATGTTGGGTATCATGGATAAATATCTCAATGATGTACAACTCTTGATGACATGATAATGACTACGGTATTATGAAATTGGGCCTGCAAACACGGTCTTCGTTGATGCAGAATGAAGGCCATTTATCATCTGATGACTCATTTTATGAACCCCGAGGAGTATCCGTAATTATACCTACAATCAGAATTTCTTTTCGCTTTCAATTGCGTCAATTAGTGTACTTTAATCGTAGCTCCCACATGTCGCTTCGTAAAATAAAAAAAAACGCAATGAGGCAAGATCTCGGGTTGACTAACTATTCGTTGCAATTTTCTTCCCATGTTTTTCTATGTTCCACGTAGAATTCAGCTTTCTGGTCAGGAAGTTTGGACGTATTGCGCGGGTATGATAAATGCAATCAACGACACTGTGAGTGTGAATTGGCGAGTAAAATCCTGTTCCTGAATATGCCTGATACGAAAATTATAGAATACCTGGCTTGCGTCGAAAATGATACCACAATTACGGACCTTCTGACTTCGGTCGCAATCAACGTTAGGGGTATATGGATGCATTTGGACAATGCGCAGCTAACGAAATTTTACCACCTCGTTGTGAGGAGACACGCGAGAAAGGAGAATACTTAGGTTCATCTTGGGGAACTTCAACAGAATAATGAAAGAGTAAAATTTATCTTCTACTGTATGCAACGTTCGTAAATGTAAGCGTTTATCGCGGTTGTTTTCGACAAATCTGTCGTTCTAATGTTACAGTCGGCTGAGTAAAGTGGATAAAATGGCCGATCTTATCATGAGCGTGTATTCCATCTGCGATCTCAAGAAGGCAAATTTCGTCATTTCGATTTTGATTGTCCAAAGGATTTTAACGACGACGAAATGAATTATTCATCGGCACCGTGACGATGCGTTTTAGATAAGTGCATTCTGAAAAACCGACGTCGACATGGACGGAAAAACATTTCTGGAAGTTAATCGTTTCATGGGGCTGCGAAAGGTTCAGCTGAATCAGCTGAAGAACATGTTCGTAAATTGGTTTCCCCCCACCCAGGTTAAAAAATGTTGAATGTTCGATCTGACGTGCGATTTAATAAGTAAGAATATATCGGTCGAATATATTAATAATCACTTGAACGTGACAACGTTGTTAATGTGCTCTAGAAAGAACCGTATGAATAAATTTAAACATTGACTTCGGAATTCTCTGTGATGTTTATTTCTTATTACCCTTCTTTTTAAGATAAATATATTCTATTATTATTGTCGTGCTCACGACAATCGTATCGTTGTATTTTGTTATTTGAAACTGTGTCAGTCATTCTATCCGACGCGTTTTCGTAATCGGGTCACGCGGATTATTATTTTTGATTCAGCTGCGTTCGAGGTGGTCCATCCGCAATCTGTCGATCGTTGAACGAGTGAAATTTTGATAACATCAGTATTGTCCGAACAAGAGTTTCGTGCCGACCGATTCAGCACAAATGCTGTGTGGTGCTGTTTATTTCTCTGTAAACAATTGTAAAATTTACAGAGTTTATTTCTTATTTTATAGAGTTTATTTTTATTAGAATATGTTTACAGAGTTTATTTCTCTATAAATGCTCACATTGATGTTAACATTCTGCAGATTGCCTGGAATGAACTCAAGTATCTACTTATGACTTCACGACTTCCTTCAGGAACTTACAGATTCTTCTCGTAATTGAATCCTGAGGAAACGACTAAACCCGCTCAGAACTTAGTCGGATCAGCTGATTAGCCGTTACAATGATAGTCTTACCTTCGCTCGTATTAAAGACATCGCGAAGGTAGACACGGCCGACTTCAGTGCGTCGCTTCGCGCGTGCCTTTGGCGCGAAGCACTTCCGCGTCTCTCGATATCAGCGGCGAGCCGCGGGTATTAATTTAAGCGGAACCGACGACCCCCGCGAGGGCCGGCGAGGCAGCAATGAAAGAGAGCCCGATTCCATTCGAGGATATGCACGACGGCACATTAGGGGGGCTAATTTAAAGAAAAGAGGGGCCAACAGCCGAGATAGGGCGGCGGGGGAGACGAGGAGCACCAGTACCGAGTGGAAGCACGACGATGTATGAGTGAGAGAGAGGACGATGAGAAAGAGAAACGGGGAGAGAGAGAGAGAGAGAGGGAGAGAGAGAGAGAGAAGGTTGGGAGAGCTCGGGGTGGCCTGGAGAAGACACGAGAGATCGCGGAACGAAGCGAGAGCGGAGTAATCAATACGCATTCACACGCGGTGCCTGACATCCCGTCGTCATGGTGACTGACGCTCACGCATGCGTCCGGTCCAGCGACGCGGCCGTGCTGACGAAATCGTCCCGAAATCCGAGTCAGTCTCGCGCCAACCATCCCCTGTGCGCGGCGCGTGACGCTCGCTAATGTCGACCACGGGGGTGGCGGGAGAGAGAAACAGATAGAGAAGGAGAGAAAGAAAGAGAAATTGAGAGAGAGAGAGAGAGAGAGAGTCAATGACGCGTTACGGATGTATGTTCGTAAAGTACATTTCCCGGTTGGATCCTCTCACTCTTTCGTTCGAATTCGTTTCCCCATATGACTGCGAATACATGCCGAAAGGGGTTAAAAAAGAAAAATAAAGAACACCGTTAGGGCAACTGGTGATTCTCGCGACGAGAGGCAACGAGTGAGAGTCGTTACCGTGATGATCGAGGTCGTCGTCGCGTTGGACCTCGACAATTTTCCACGAGTAAAAGCTATTATCGATAGACACCCCCGAAGGCCACCTCCGGCACGAGAACAGAGCAACCGGGAAAAAGCGGTGGCGGCACCGGTTTCTCACACAAAGCCGCTTACAAAGAGAGAGAGAGAGAGAGAGATCTATCGTGTTCATGCCACTTCGGGAGTGATCGTTTCTAAAGCGTAGTCAAGCAAACCGTGCCGGATAGTTTTCCCCCGACGACGGTCATCCTGTTCTCTATAGTCACCGTCGGAGGGTTCAGCGCGGCGCTCGTCCGACGAATATACATTCAACCCCCCAGCCGTTCTCTCTGTCCTTCTTTCTCTCTCTCTCTCTCTCTCTCCCTCCGTCTCGCTCTTTCTCCCTGTGAATGCCGTGGGGACAACGGGGGTGGGGTGGAGGTAGCGAGGGGTTGCTCGGGCAGTCGAGGCGCCTGCGTCGAGTCCCCGATGACGACTCGGCTAGGTAGGTAGGTGCTCGACCCGGACGCAGTCGGGAGAAAACAAGCGGCAGGCAGCCTGCTGTTCGCGCGTTGCGGCTTTTTTCCCCACCGAGTTCGAGTTCGGGACGCGAACGACGGACAGAAACAGAAAGAGAGAGAGAAAGAGAGAGAGAGAGAGCTTATTCGGACCGATCGTGGAGTGCGGGTGTCACGGGAGTGCGACTCATAGGCGCGCGCGTGGCTCGGGATCTCGAGGGGAAAGAGGGAGAGAGAAAGAGAGACAGACAGAGAGAAGCGAGACACGGCGGCGACGTCGGCCGGAGGTGGGACCGGCCACCGCAGGACGGGACGGTGATGGAGCTCGCGGGGCAGCAGATGCGACAGCGTGAAAAAACTGACGTTCGATAATACGCCGCGCGACAAGTTCGTTGAACCCTTTCGGGATTTAGGGTCGCCGCAGTTGATGCGTTCAGAGCTTCAGCAACCTGGCGGTGAAGAATAAGAGGAGTTGGCAGGGATAGTCCACGACGGACAATTAACGAGGAGACGTTCCGCGTTGCACGCGCGTTAATTGGAGCCAGCTAGTCAGCCGTGTACAGTTGGAGCCTGGAACAGTGATCGATCTCCGTGAACGCGTTGGACTAATCTTGCCAGAGGACCGTCCTTGTGAAAGGGAGAGAGACAGTGGCCATTCTGTCGTTCCTCTCGTCCTTCTCTCTCTCAGGGAAGTTTTTTAGCGGGAGATTCGTGCATCGCACGCGCGACATCCTCGCGTATGTCGCGTCGTTCGTCGCGTTGCGACCGGACGCGGCAGCGCCGAGGAGGACGAGGGTGGTCGTCGTGGGAGAAGATGCGCGTTTGAAAAGAGAAAGAGAGAGAGAGAAAGAGAAAGAGCAAGAAAGCAGGAGCGAGTGGCAAGTCGCCGTCGGACGCGCTCTTCGCATAGCAGCGGCGGCCGCACTTTTAATCGCCGGTTGCATGTGGGTCACGAGTTGCATTCGTCGCAGCTAACGAGATAGAGAAGGTTTACCGAGCGAAGAGGTAAGCCTGTTAACCGGCGTCCTGTGCGCGGACTGTGACTGATGGTGCGATGATGCCTCGAGGAGCGAGATGGATCGCCCCGAGGGAGGGAGAGGAGCCCCGGGCTAATTAATCCCGTCGGGGGTTTGCGAAAAAACCGGTGACCGATCGATTTTGGCGTTCGAGATACGCCGGATACGCTGAGAAAAGAAATAACTAATTTCCCTGAAATTATCATATTCGGCGGGGGAACTACATCTTGTTGTTCTAAGCGAAAGAAATGGTAGTAGCAATATGTATGTAAGGTTACTATCATTAGTATTCAAGTAACACCCGCTATAGGAATAATATTTCTGACTGTAATCCCTTCATGCGATTATAGTCACATAAATAACAAGCACTTTTTTCTCAGTGTACGGTCATTCGGCCTTATGAAACGATTCGTCTTGTAAAATAAACTGGAATATTTTCAATTCGTTTTCAACCATTTGCATCATCAGAGGATATATCTGTTTATTTGGCTTGACTGGAAATAACAATTTCTTACTAAAGATGATCAAAGATCAAATCGCAAAAATCGTGTGTGTTTTGGTTGTTTTCTTATTTTCTACTTGAGATCGACCTAAAGGAGAGAAGATTCAGTGGTATGGACGTATTTTTCAAATCTCCCCTGACGATGCAAATGGTCTGATTCAGACGAGTTGCCAAAGACAACCTTCGAGAAAATTTGTTGGCCGAAGGAGATGTACTGCGATTGGTCTTGATCGACGAAGCGATTGGCAGCTCGATGGTTTCGGCGGGTATGATTATTTCCTCTCTTCCTCCGGGTAGATCTCCTTGTCACGAGAAAAAATTGATCACGCGGGACGGGTAATTAATTCAACGAAGGGAAAGACACACTGATAGAAAATTATAGTTAGTTTCGGCGCCAAATATACACGGAAAAAAATTAGTCTTAAATTAATGACAGATATTCTCACGTATAAGCAAGAATATTATAATCCGCTTAGGAAATCTTTAGTCTTGATTCGATTGAATTTGTATTGATGCAACCATTACTTGCATTCAATTCTGAAAATATTATAATACTGCTTGCTTATAAAGGTGTTTATCGTTGATTTAAAATTATTTCTTTTCTGTCTACCCTTCAACTAAAAAAATAGACAGGAGAACCATTTTCTAGTAAGCGTTATCATAATGTCAGTGATAAAAATCTTACACATGCACCTTGCTGCTGCTATAAAATATGTTTGGCGCCGAAATTAACCATAATTTTCTATCAGCGCGAGCGTGTCGCGCGGTCGGTTGTAAATTTTCATTCGCGACGAAGAGGTTAAAGTCACGTGGGTCTATAGCGCGGGCGGCTGCAGTTTACGGTGTCCTTAACCTCGTGGAAAATCAATGTTCCTCATAGCCGACAGCTGTACATTCCGTACGCGATGTCGTATGCGGCCGGAGTTATCTTCGTTTAAAGCACGATGGTGATAAGTAAAATGAATAATAAAGAAAACAGGAGGGAGAAAGAAAGAGAAAGAGGGAAGGAGGGAGAAAATTGCAGTTTCCGGCGGGAAGAAGTGCAATAATTAATCCAGGAGCTTTGATTTATGAAAAACGCGCGGAATAATGACAAACGTGCGCGTTCGTTGGCGCGCGAGCGGCCGCGCAGCCTTCGCGAAGTTAAAGTTTTCATTTGCATAACCACTGGAAATTTGAATGAAGCTCTAACGCGCGGATGAACGTCCCTTAAGATATGCAGCAGATTAAAGGCCGTTCCTTCCGGCACAAAGGGATCGGTAATGAGAACTACCGCAGTGTTTGCACAAGAATCGCGTTTCTTTCACCCGCGGTATTCCCGTGGGTTGCTTGTAACTCAGGGGGCGTGCGTCCTATCGGATTGTTTAAAGGAGCGAGCGTTTATGTAAACGGCTTCTCGCTAAAGTAAATTCAGAGTTGCGGCGCGAGCAGCGCCGCATAGTGCGGCCGCTGAATTTCCGCGGGGAGAGAAGAGGAGGCGAGTTCTCTCTCGTGCAATCAGAAATTGCATAATTTGCAAATTGCATAATTAAATTAAACACCTACTCTCTCTCCCGTGGAATATTTTTCCTAGAATATATACAAGAGGTTTCTCCAAACGGAGAATTTTAACGGGCTTTTAGGAGCAAAGCACGGATGTTATAGTACCACCACCACTAGAATATTAATGTTGCCAGTATTAATATTATTCGTGAGAGGATAAAATTTTTCAGCGTGTAACGCACGTGCTGATTATTTTCAGCTGATCGTAAGCGGTGAATCTATTCGAGTCGAAATTTTGGCCCTATATTAAATCTTTGATTCTATAAAAAAAATGTTCTTAAATTGACAATAGATATTTTCATATATAAGCAAAAATATTATAATATGAATATTATAATATGAATATTATAATATTTTAGCTTATAGCTTATAATATATTTGCTAGAAAATTATAATATTCTTGCTTATACATGATAATATGTATCATTGATTTAAGACTAATTTTTTTTCTTGTATAACATAGTAGGAGTTAAAATAAGCAATATGGGTTCAATTTCAATTCTAATAATATAATTATCCCTATTCTTTTATGTTGATGATATCTTAAATTTTCGTTTTCACCATTTTAGCGCCAAAATAGGTTGTTGAAGGTAGCATTAAAATTCAATTTGTAGAATTAAGGGTTCCAAAATGAAGTTAAAAAGTGTCAGTCGCAGGTCATCAAAGTAGGTTTTTACTAGTCTATAAACCACCTGAGTAGGCGCAAACTATTTTTAAAAGTATCTAAGTAGCATCAGAATTTCGACTCGAGCATCTTTCACGCTTAAACTGATCCTCGAGTCCCAGTAAAGTTATTATTGCTAATATGTTAATGGCACTACCTCCGTGCTTTGCTCCTAAAGGCTCTTTAAGATTCTTCATTTGGTTAGACCAAGAAGGAGCAGTCTATCTTAATAAGAAGTTTTACCTTCAATAATAATTGCCCTTGCTCAAGAAATGCCCTTATCTGTCTCACTCATCCACCCATCTATCTCTGTCTTGATATTTATCTGTTTCATCTTCCTCCGGGGATTGTCGCATCCGAAATCCAATTTTACCTAATCTACTTTAATCTTAATCTCTCACTTTTCCTTATCCGATTTAAAAATTACACATCTCCGATAAGAAATTCCTCTTTCGTTCCGCGAGTTCCACCCTTAACTGCGTTACTCGACGAGATTATTTCGAGAACCGCGCAGTATAAGTATTCTCTCTCTCTCTCTCTCTCTTTCTTCATCTCCCTCGACGGAGAAAAACCGGCGCGTGTTATCGACCGGCGGACGACTTCACGTCTTCGACATTCGACGTGAAAAGTCGTCTCTCGTCGCGGCTAGATTTCGATCCCTTTACGATTCCCCCTCTGCCACCTCTCTGCCGACTCTTTAACTCAACTCTCACGAGGGTAAACGCCAACGCTGGGGTAAGGGAGCGTAAGTCGTGCGTCTTCCCCACCCCTTTTCCCTTCTCCGGTCCTCTCGCGCGCTTGATTCTCAAATCTGAGCCGCTGTTCTTTTCGCGGTCGCGGCTCGTTGTCTCCGGCGCCGTTCCGAGGACGAATATCATCAATTGCAACGGTAACAGCATACTCGTGACGAGGGACGCGTTCCTTCGCTGACAATTGCGGATCCCGACGGGTATCACGCCGCTTACTGCGCCACTTAGTCCGCGAGCATTAAGACCGAGCGCGTTCCGGCTTCATATCACGCGAATTCTCGGCGCCCCGTTAATATTATATAACTGATCGGTGCAATTGAGAAATACCTCGCCCTAAATATCAAACGAGCGATCGATTTCGAGTACCTAGGGGAATTTTCGCGGATGAAAAAACCGATATCGACTGTTTTCGCGCGCGATAACAAAAATCCTCCTCCTGGGGTTCCGCGGATTTCGCCTCGGACTTCGGAGTCAAAGGTTCGAACTTTCGCGTTCAAACCGTGCCCGCTGAATTTTCACCGCGCAAGAGGAGGGAGAAAAGTATCTTGGAGCGAGCGCCCGGTTTGCGTATCGTAAATCCCGAGGTCGATCCCGTGAAATCGCTGAAAAATTGCCGCGCCGCGCATTTAATCCCGGCTTTCGGGCCGAATGCTCGCAGCAAGGGGGGATGCGCAGGGCCGACGACGCGTCCTGAAATCTGCGGACGGGACATTACCGCTCGGCATTCTCTCTCTTTCTCCTTCCCTCTTCCTCCCTCACCATGTCCCCCTGAGCCGATGAAATCCGCCGATATAGCTTGGACACGTGTGTGCATGGCGGGCGTAAAATCCTTACCGGCGATCGCGCAGTATGTACGTACGGTTCCGTCTCGGCGCGCATTCTACGAAGGGCGGCCACGACAAGAGAACGACGCGCGCTTGCTCGTTGAACTGTGAGAATCCGAGATAAAGATTGACCCGTGCATATTGATAGCGACGGAAATAATCCGAATCGCTCTGCGAGTCCTCCGATCGTTGCGTTTCCGCGCGAGAAATCGCGATCTGAATTTTTCCTTCGCTCAATTTTTATTGATCTAATTTTCCCGAGGAATTGTCTGCGCTAAATGTCTTGAAAATTTTTATTTGATCAAATTTCTCGAAATTTTCATAAGCCAAATCTGATTTAGGAGTTAAAATTTACTCGTAGCGACAGTGAAAAAGTGACTGAAAAAAAATTGCTATCGTTCAAGTGATATTTACTTGGTCCAAGTAAAGTGATTATTCTAATACCCCTGGTCAAATATTTATTAGAAGTAGAAATATAATTGACTATGTACACAATATGATATTTCTTCCGTACACAATAAAAAATATTGTGTTAAAAACAGTCCATTGGAATTTTGTGTTATTTTAACTTGAGGAATGCATTAAAAAGTACACAAATATAATGTTAAATTAACATGTTTACCTTGCCAGTATGTTGACAAGTATCTTCTTTTTTTGGCATTGTAACCCTTTGTGGCCGTTTTGGTCTCTTACGTACGCATGTGATGCGCACGCAGATTATACACATGCATACAATTTAAATGCCGGTTCCGAACGGCAAATTGGCGAATTTTCTTGGCATGAATACACTTGGTGATTTGCCAGGCCACCGAAGAGGAGCTACGAACGTATGAAAAATTTTCTGGTTCTGCCGGGAATAGAACACGGAACCTCTAAAGCATTGTAGACCGGTGTGCTGTCTACCACGCCACGCTCGCTCTTGTTGACAAAGTATAAACATATTAATTTAATATTATATTATGCACATTTTAACACATTCCCCATGTTAAAATAATATTTTAATGAATTATTTTTAACACAAATTTTTTTACTGTGTATAAATAGACATTTACTTGTATGTGTTAAAACAATTGGAACATGTTATAATATAAAAAAATACCGCTTTTTCCAATTTTTGCTCAGAACGAAATCGAAAAAATTCGTGGGAAAATAAAAAAATTCTGGTTATTGCCATTTTTTCATTCATTCGAGGAAAAAACTGAAAAAATCGCGGAAAATGGGAAAAAACTGGCATTTTTCCAAACCTTTAAAATTATAGTATTAAATTCATAATATTGAAAATTTATTTTTAGGAATTTTTATTTATCTCTTTTTTCCGGACAGAAAAATCTAAATTTGTGTAAAATCACTACGTTTTAGCGTGGCAAAGAAATATTATATAATTCTAATAAATAATATCTTAAAATTTAGAATCATTTTACACTTATATTCGATAATTCATTTACAAATTAAAGTATTACTGCGTTCAAGTAAGTATTTACTACGAGCTATTAAAATATACTTAAATTGACAAAAATATTATTTGACTTAAGAGGCTGAAGAACAACCAATTACGTTTACTTGATTCTAACACTTCTTTTTCTGTGTGAATATCTTTCCACTCGGAGTCGCAAGCGAGAACGTTTATCTCAAACTTTGAGTGGATTTACTTGGCAACGCAAGTACTTTTTGTTTTTCACACAAACGAACGACGTTAATGCTACGTTCACACAGGGCGTGAAATAGAGACATCAGTTAAGACCTTTCGTAGACCACGGCTTGTATGAACGCACACTATGAAGATTGTACTCGTGCAATGTTACATTATGTAATATAAGCTCCATTTGATAACTCTAAAAGACGAAGCGTATTATTATCGTTTAATTTCACTGTACGCTGCGACATTCTGCTTGACGCTTGCTAGCCCACGGCTGAAAATCAAACATGTTTGACCTGGCTACGGCTGGAGCGTGAAAGCGCTGACGTTAGAGGCGATCTTCACGGCACGCATTCACACGAGCCGTGGTCTACGAAAGCTTAATTCACACCTATATTTTACGCCCCGTGTGAACCCGGCATAATGATAACAGATCGAACGTTCGAGGGAATTCGCCGCGAAACATGGACCCGAAATTCACGCTCCCTCTGCGCTACCCTTGCTGTTTCCGCGTCGATCCACTCCGAACGGCTGGAGTGGATCGGCCATGTGATGAAATGAATACGACAGGGATAGACACGATGGCGGCAGCGGTTCTCGCACATCTCGGTATTGCCTCGTGTGAGGCAATACGCGTATTTGCGCGCGCTGTGTTCGGAACGCGTGAGGGTGCATTCGTTTACCCGAAACTCGATTTCACGGCCGCCGTAATTGAATCCCGAGTGCCACCCTGGCCCCGGATATAGCTGGAAACTCATAAGGGCAATGTCGAAGGCCGGCCGACCAGCCTTCTTCGACTAATCGGATTTCACAGGCCGGCTCACACGGCGAATACCGTCGTTGGATATCATCGGATCTCGCGACAAGTTTCTTAAGGAAAAACCAAATCGCCGATCGCCGATTCAATTATATTCTTTTCATCCTTCACATTTCGCTATCTAAACTCCTCCAATTTGTAAAATTAAAGGTTTAAGGTAGTCGGCAGAACTGAATTTCCAATGGCAGTATTAAAGGCCCCTTCATAACTTTATTATTGGCTGAAAAGCATTTTCCCATAATTTTATTGAACTGAAAAAATAAGTATTAATTTTGAATGAAATTAAGACAAATATACACAAACAAATACACAATATAAATATATACAAACATCGAGATATTATTTATTTTTTATTTTTCTTATTAATACTTTACGTATATGTCAGTGAAACTAATAAAAGTGTGTAAATAATAAAAAGTGGTATATACATATTTAAATATATATATACATGTACATATATTGACGTTATTATAAATTACCTATGGCTAAGTATTTTCAAAACAAAATGGCTGAAAATTCTGAAATTTTTATGTAATGTTTCTGTATTAGTTTTTAATATCCAGCTTTTCATTAAAATCCTAAATGCGGTTTATAGAAAATTAAAAATGGAACATTAATCTCAAAAAACACATAAAAATTTCGTTTTCGTTGCGAATATCTCAGCTTCCGAATGGTCAATCGTTTTTTAACTTTGCAGACGTATAGATAACATTTCCACCGATATGCTGCTAAAATTAAAAAAAATTCCTCAGAAAAAGGTTTCATGGACCACCTGCCTTAACACAGGACTAAAATTTCGACTCACGTAACGGAGCCTGCCTGGGGATTCGCGTTGCGCGATAAATCGCAGCGTGCATTTATGAACTCGCCGAAAAATCCCGCTCTATCTCGGAGCTTTCTCGAAGGGTGGACGCGGATAAATTGCGTGAAGGAATCAGGGATACGCGCGCGCGAGCGCGCCCATGGAAATAGATTATCTCGGGAACAGATGTGCGAGATGCTGTTACTAATGCAGCATCGTCGGGGGAATACACGCCGGCCAATGATGGTCAGCTCCCGTAGTATTCCCCTTTCGTTTTAGGGGGACGACCGTTGAAAACCGCCGCGTTCACCTCTCGATGGCGCTTTTTATCCGCTGAAAACGCGTACTTCGTGTACAAAACGCGACGGTCGTTTCTCGCTCACGCGGCTTGGCATTTGCTAACAGGACACGGCTTCCGGAAAGACTCCGGAAGCCTCCGTTCAATTATCCACGCCGGCTCGGCAAATATTTAGTTTCACATTATGCACCCTCCACGAACGAGAGGATGTCGAACCTCTTACACTGGTGGCGCACGGAATTGCACGCGCAGGTGATACCGCACGCTATTCTGTATCGGAAAATCGCGGTCCCTCCGCTCCCTTCCTCATTCTCATTCTCTCTCGCTCTGCCTTTCTGTTTATCCGACCCGCCTCGCTGCCGACTTTAATCGAATACATTAAAGTAAAAGAGAAGGGCTCGAGAAAGCGAGGCGAGCCTCTGTCTCGTCGCGAGCTTTATCGAGGCAAATTTTAATAGGTGCTTGCGTAGGTAAAAGTTCGTCGGTCGTTTCATTGGCTCAAAAGATGAATGTCATCTCGCAGACGCGGAATTAGACTTACCTGAAAGGAATTACTTAAAAAATAACTTTAATGAATAGAGGATATTTTGATTGGACGTGGCGCTATTGCTGTTTCATTACCAATTCAATTTTTTTATTCGATATTTCGTTACAGAATCAATATTAATTCAACTCTCATCATTATGAATTCAATTGATTCTCTATAATTAGCTGTATTATAATTTCCGCGTTGTTTGTTTTTCTAGAAATTTGCCTTTTCTTTTTGTACATGTTATCGAATTGAAATTTACGTATTGTCCTAATATTTTTCCGTAAATAAATAAACTTGAAATTAATTAATAATGCGCTACAATAATAACTCTATTAATAATAAATCTGTTAATAAAGGAATCATGTGTGGTTAAAAATACGACGAACTTTCGTGAGCTTCTAATAACGGATCCCTGGATCATCCCTGGACAACAAGAATGTCCAAAAGGCATCACAAGTTTTTCAGACGTCTTTAGACGTGTTGTTTTCGTTTCTCCGTCGTGGTCTCCGAATCTTTATTAACATGTGCCAGAAAGGATTCAGCGTGTACAAAATAACTCGAAGTCGAGAGGGAGCGGTTAATATATTTGATCCGTAGTTTTCAAGGATTTCTTGCTCTCTCTCTCTCTCTCTCTCTCTCCTCTTTTTGCGAAAACAGTAATTCCGGGAGATTCACGACGCAGGAGCGAATGAAACACCGCGAGAGAGATCCGGAGAGCGATGGTGGAAAACAAATGCTATTACACGGCCGTCTGTATCCATCGGGATGCTATTTAATTTCTCGAGCCCCTAATTGGCCGCGAATAAGAACGGACGAGCGTTACGATGATAAATTTTCCTCAACGCCGAGAGAGGGAGAGAAGTGCAAAATTGCGCGTTCCGGCGATACTTTAATCGTATCTCCATCTTTTCTTCCTTTTTTCTTTCTTTCTTTCCTTCTCTCTGTCTCGTTTCAGGAAGAACATGTGGAGCTCGGTTACCGCGGCTGGTACGGAAAATGGGCCAGCACCACCTTCGAGGAGCAAGCACAGTGCCACCTTACTTGCCGGTCACGTGTACTTACTCGGGGGACGAAATGGAAACCTACCACTCAAAGATCTTTGGCGATACAGTCTCGGTGAGAGAGAAAATCTCATAATTATTCTCCCCTTCGTACATGATTAACTCGAATACACACACATGCTGAGAGAAAAAATTATTTAATCTCGCTGCGAATTAGAGTAATTTATCTGACCTACCAATTGTATAAAAAAATCTTCTTAGAGATATGAGGGATGAGGGATATCTAGGAGGGGTATAAGTATGTGAGAATGCACTGATGGAAGTTATTTCCAGCCTAAACTATTCCTTTTTCTTGCTTATAATCACGAAGATAGTAGTAGCAACATACATGTAAAGTTATTATTACACTATGACACTTACTAGAAAAATAATTCTTCTGACTGTAATTCTATAGTAACTGTACACTATAGTGTATAGTTTATAATATTATTATAACATAAATATACCAAATATTTTTCTATCAATGTGTGAAATAATGAAGTAATAAAAAGTGACAAAACAATGAGAAATGATGAAATAAAATAAGTTCAACGTCGAAAATGACTAAAATTTATATTGAGATTATCAATTTTTTGTGATTATCAATAACAATATTGTTCTAACAAAAATATAATAACAGTAATATACGCATAAGGTTGTAAACAGCAATAAACAGTCTAATAGTGTTAACCTTCGCAAAAAATGACTTCCTGATTATAATCGCTTCACCACGTAATTATAGTTACAAACGCCTAATATTTTTCTCTCAGTGCACAGTGTGCTCAATACACGGAAAAAAATAGTCTCTAATCAATGATAGATATTCTCATATACAAGTAAGAATATTATAATATTCCCAGAAGATTTTTAGTCTTGAATTGAGTAATACTTGCATCGATACAAAATTCAATCAAATCGAGACTAAAAATCTTCTTAAAAAATCATAATATACTTGCTTATACATGTATGAGAATATCTATCATTGATTTAAGTCTCTTCTGCTATTGACGCACAAACGCGTTAATATGTATATAATGATCGAGCCTTTAGACGTCATATGCTCTCGGGGCTGCGTTGGTGTTGCTATTTTGAGGACGCGGGAAATCCCGAATAATCGCCGGAGCAGCGACAGCGTTGGCAATGCTGTACGGTATTCCTCGAGTGGTGCGTGGCGCCACGTTAATGCGAACATCGCTTCTGACCGGCGCCCCAACGCGTCCCATCGCGCCCCGACGCACCCCATGGCTCGAGGGTGCGCGGCGGAATTTGAACGGGGTTTCGTCGGTCTGATCAATAATGCACCGTTATTAAAGCCCACGTACATATTGAGCAAATCCGCGGGCGATACTCCCACAATTACGCGGTGTTTCCACGGAGATCGGACGCGCACGTGAATTAATCGGCCACCCCGACGCCGGCCGTAATCGTTGGCTTATGTACGTGACAGGGAGAGATTTTCCTCCGACTATCGCGCACTATTCGCTGCGTACCCGCTTCACGTCAACCTAAACCGCGGCCTTATCGCTCATGTTCCGTCTCCGCGAGCGATTAATCTCCGATCGTGTAGTATCGCTCATCAACGAGACGAACGAGAGTTTTATCGGAGGGCCGATTATAAGACGCAAAAAGATTATTAATGTTAATGCTTCGTACGGATAAGAAAGAGATCGGTGAAATTAACGTGACGTGACACAATCAAGCATGTTCTGATGGGAAGGAAACAGAATTTCTGGTTCTGAACAAATGAATTCGATTCGCAACAGTCACGTTCAGAAAGAAATATCTGGTATTTGTATGCCAAATTTTTTCTATAGTAAATCTCTCCTATAGTAAGTTTTACTATACACTGAAAAAAGGATTTAATAGTAAGTACTAAAATTTTGCGAATATTTGCCGACTATTATAATATTTGATAACAACAACCAAATAATTTATTTGGTTATAGTAATCAAATATTCATCGGCAAATATTCACCAAATTTTAATAGTTATTACTAGATCTTTTTTTCAGTGCATCGGTGATAATAACTTTATACATATATTTCTATTACTATTTTTGTGGTTAAAAATAGAAAAAAGGATATACTTTGGATATATATAGTAAATAACATTTTATACTCGTATTAAAAACGATCCTTGTTAAAATTTTTGTGTAAAATTTTTAACTTACTCGTGTGTGTACATTTAACATATCATATTATCTCAATATTTTCTGTTGAGTTGATATTCAATATGTATGCGTTAACACATTTTATATTTCAGTATTAATTAACATTTTATAGATATTATATTTTTATATTAATTTTCGATATAATATTTGTGTTAAATTAAAAAAATCGCATGAACCGTTTGGAACATGTGAAATGTGTTAAATTTAACGCAAACATTTTTATTGTGTAGTCGAGGCGGAAAATAATTTCATTCGCTGCAGAAATCCCGTTTCCTTCCAACAAAAAGCGTTTACTTGTATCCTATCATGTCAATTCGACCAATATTTTCTTCCGTGCCCAATCAATCGAGTGCAAGAGCAAGCCTGCTAGTCAAATACCGACACAAAGAGACAAAATTCATAACCTTTATACAAATTATAGTAATTTTCGACGCCAAGCATATTTTGTCTCAACACTTCATTACTTTTTTAATTAATTCTTTTCTCCGCACCCTCGCACCTTCATCCCTCGCACCCTCATTGCACTAGCGAACCTTCCGATGAGATATTGCCGTTCCGCCGGGCATGCTGGCTAAATATTCAAAGTAACCGCGGAAGGGTTGACAAGCGGGCTCCTCGTTTTCGGGAGCGAGCGGCCGCGAGGGGTTCCGCTTCGAAAGAACCGTTCGGTCGACTCTCGCTCGGTCTTGTAAAAATATTGTGATAACTCGAGGAACCGCCAGAGAGCACTCCAGCGTTCGTTGCACCCTCTTTGTCACCGTCCGCGATACTCAAAGGCGAGTGATCAGGGAACGCTCTAAGAGAGGATATTTTTAACTGGGGCGACGGAAGGCGAGAAAAAATCATTGATATAGCGAAATTAACGATCGCCTCTCTCTCTCTCTCTCTCTCTCTCTCTCTAACTTCTTGAGAAAAAGCGAGAGCCTCCTTTTGCGCGCGCGAAACACCTTCGGTATTCGCGCTTGTGTCACGATGGTACTTATCGAGACACAGCCTCGAGTGGCTAAATTGTTTACCGGGCACGTATAAGTCCTCCTCTTCCTCCTCCCCCATTCAGGCCAAAAATGCCGGATCCGTCTAGCTGAGGTAAAGCGAGTGAACGCGTCGTACGTGCCGCCCGGTTTCGCGTTTTTAGATAAAAGGAGGTATTGTTTCGCTGCCAACTAGATATGACACGTGCGCGTAATCAATGTCGGGCATCTGTGCAACGTCGTTCGAGCGACATCGAGGACGCGAGCAAGTGCCCCCAGTCGGCGGGTTATACGCTTTTCACGTAACTTCCGCATCTAACTACCCTCTCGAGCACGTCTCTCTCTCTCTCTCTCTCTCTCTCTCTCTCTCTCTTTTACTTACGAATGAGAAGCCAGCCGGCGTCGCGCGGATATCGCCAAATTGGACGATGGACGTCGCGCCGACGCGACGTCGCTATCCGCGAATGTCGTACACAATATTGCGTCCCTCCACTTATTTACTAGGGTGTTTCCCCCTCGAGTAGTCCCGGCTGAATAAAACCGCGCGTCGGGAGCGGGGACAAAGAACGAGAGGGACGGAAGGATGAGATGCAAAAGATCCGAAATCATGGTGAAGGGCGTGGTTGCGGACAGCAAAGAACACAAAAATCCTTAATAATCTTGTTACAACGTCATAGGGGAGTTATTCGTAAATCACACGTAAAGGAATTAAAAGAGAGAGAGAGAGAGAGAGAGAGAGAGAGAGGAGCGTTTCATACTTGCGATTATAATTTTGCGGTAACAAATGTCTTTTCTAAGAAAGAATATATTTTGTATAAATATATAAATTTATAATAAAACACTGCATTTTTTTTAACGAGACCGAGATTTTTTCATCTATTTTAGTTGGCGACTATATTACCACTTCTGTTTCTCTTTGACTCATTATGTGATGTTATTACATTTTTATATGTAATATCCGAAGTAATAAATATTTCATAACTTTGAATCTAGAATCGATTGAAAACAACGTTTTAACGAATATAATTATTAAGTTTCAATTTAAAATATTGATCATCAACAAAGTTATCGTACAAAATTTTAATGGAGAGTCATAATACCATCTTCTCCTCTATTAATTAATTTTAATGAGATCATTTTAGTTGGGTGCATCTTCTTCTTAATGTAGAATGTAAGATATATGAATAATTCCTACAAAATTTGAATTATATCGACAAGACGGAAAATTCTTCACGTCGCTGTCCGACTCGAATAAGATTACATCACGAAGAGACACGAAATCAAATCGGATAAAGATAGTTACAGGAAAGAGAGAAAGGGGGGGGGGAGGGAATAAAAAATAATTGGCGTGCGGCAATATATTTCTAGGAGCACTCCCGCTATCCAATACATGAGCGGAATATTTACTCTCATCCAATATGACGCAAATTTATGCGTTCCCCGGTCGCCGAGCTCTTTTCCGCGCCTTTATACCGCCGTCCCCGGCCAGGGGAAGAAAGTACGCGCGCCTCCGCGACTTCCTTTTCACAATAGTTCGGAAGGGCGCTGGGAGGTCTGTTTTATTAAAAAGCCGCGCTCAAGATGAAGCCGGATTTTTTTTTAATATTCTCCCGGTAAACTTTCGTTGTAACGGGCGATTCAGCACGAGGTTGCAAAGCCCGGATTTTTCTTCCCCCCGTACTCCACCTCCCCCCTCGCTTTGTCAATCGTCGTTGAAATTCACCTGGATGAATTTCGGGAGAGATTTCCGCGCAAACCATCGCTGCAACGCGCGAGATTTCGCAATCGCAATCACAATTACGTTTCCCGCCGTACATAAAAAATATATCTCGCATCCTGGATGTTTGGTTTCACCAATTCCTCTGGAAATCCAACCTGGATAAATTCAGAGCAAAATATATCCGCGGGTCTCGTCGGTCGTTGCGCGGCCGGTCAAACGATATTTACGAGATACAACACGCGAGAATTCGGGATCGCGGCCCGCGCCGTGTGTAAAAAGTATATTGCGGAACCTGCTATACGTTGAAAAGCGATCCCTCGTTCTTTGACCGGGAACTGGGACGTGGAGCGTCCACGTCGCCGCGGCGCCGAGACCGCGCTGCATTAAAATGCAAGGCGGGTGCATTAGAAAAATTCGCGTGTCGCCGTTCTCCCTACTTCTCTCCCTCCCTCTTTCTCTCTCATTCTTTCTCTTTCTGTGTTCACATGTGTGTGTGTATGTGTGTGTGTGTGTCTCGTGTGTTTGAACGAGCGCACGCTCGCCGTAATAGCCGCGCACTTACAGCCCGGTAGATAAGAACGTCGGATTACATTCACCTGTAGCCATGATGAGTCAACCCTCCCTTTGTTTTACTTCCAGCGGAGAGCAAATGGGAGGAACTGCATCCGGGGGGTGAGAGACCGCCGGCGCTTCAGGAGCACAGCGCGGTAGCCTACAAGGATTGCCTCTATGTTTTTGGGGGCGAGCTCGGCTTCTCCGCCGGCACGGAAACGCCGCTCTGGGTCTACAATGTTAAGGTAACGCGCGAGATAACGCTTAGATTACAATACATTCTCCCGGTACAAGCGGTGGAAAACGCGACGTGCACGCGGAGTCGTCGACACGATACAAAAGAAACAGACCGGTGTCGTTAATTCTGGGTAACCGAGTCTCTTGGATTCTCCTATCCGGATATCCGGTTATTTAATCTCATGGTTGTTTCTTTTTTCCAAACACCATCACAGAGAAAAATAATTTGTTGACGCAGTAAATTTTATGCTGCTGCAAAAAAGATCAATTATTATGTGGATAGAAAAACGATTTGTTTGGATTGTTAAGGATCGTCCATGATTCAAAATAATGAAAATTACAAATCGATCTACTTAAAAATAACAGATCGATCTATTTAAAAGTGACACCAGAAAATTACAAATCGATCTATACTTAAAAGTGACACCAGAAATTTGATAGTAATTCAGGACATGGATTAAATGTTATTCCATTTCAAAAGAGGTAAGATAAAATGAGCTTGATAAGAATTCGATGAAACTTATGTACCTCTTTTTATTATCTGTGCATCTCCATTAAATCAACTGATGCATAAATATAGTATTAATAAAAAAATAAAAATAACATTTGTGTATACATGTCTACCTTAACTTCGTTTTAAATTAACATTTATTATTTAGATAGCGTGATAAATGCATAGAATTGAAATTTTGCTTGATAAATATTAAATTTGTGAATGACCCTCCTTGATGCGTCACTAAAAATACGACACTGATGAATGATGAATCCTTAAAAGTACTAATTGGCAATCGCTGGATATTTTCCGGAATCTATATTTTATTTTGCCGTAAGAACAAATTAGTGAATATAGGAAAGTACGTGTCCTGGGGATAAATTTACTCGGCAAAATGTTTTTATTTTGTCAACAAAACCATTCCTACTCTGTGAATAAATCACAAATTTGAGTATGCCAATTAAATTTTATCACTGTCGTAACGAATATGAAGTAGCAACAATGATTTCGCCACAACGGCAAAATAATTTTTCTCCGTGCAGCCTTGGCCTTCTTATTTATCTTTAGAAAACTTTTTCCATTTGACTGTATACCTTGGGGTAGCCTTTTAACTCGTATATTTATTTCTCCTTATTTATTTTTCGAGTTATTCCATGCATTAAAATATTAAGCCTTGCTCAACGGAGGATAAATGCTTCGTTAAATATTTAGTTTTTTTTTTTTCATCAGGGTATGTCAAGATAAAACATGCAACATCCGGCAAAGTGTTCACTCCTCGTCATTTATCTTGCTGACGTCACCGGTACATTTAATCCACGGATTCACGGAAGGAAGAATACACTTTCACCGGAAGGAAAGCATGATTCCGTTAAACAAATTTTTTGCTTCCGTATACCAGGATCACACTGACAGCACTGATTGGTCCGTTGCGAGAAATTAATTAAAAACGACAGTAAAAACAAGCCATGATGAGTAATTAAAACTGTAAACGAAGCGTCAGCGTCGGTGGAATTAATCGAACCTGAGTCGGCGCGGCCTCGTACGCGTAGAAGAAAAAAACAAGCACACGATTCCATTAAAAAAAAAAACATTTCGGCGCCGAGTGTGTGTGTGTGTGTGTGTGTGTTGTGTAGCGGGGGCATAAAAATACCCGGTTTACTCTGACAGCGGGAAAATCGACTCGCGACGCGCGGAACAACAAAACGACGCCGAGCTGCCGCGCGCTTTCGGTAAACACTCGTGCGAGGGAACTTCCGATGACGATCCTCAGCCAACGGCGCGATGCGCCGGGGGTGCCGGGGGGGGGGGGGGTTCTCTCGCTGGCGGAAGACGGGAAAATGAAGAGAGGCGGAAGAATCGCACCCTCGAGGAGCCGCTTGATCGATAGCGACGTCATCGGCCGCGAGTTTTACATGGTGGCGCGACACAGCCCCTTTCGCTCTGCCGGCGTCCGACGGGGTGGGTTTCGGCAGTGGGGTGAATTTCGGCAAGCGGGTGACAAGCTACTGACGAAAGCGAGCGCGACCGAGGCCTACCCGGCCAATAATAACGGCGGATCGAGGACGCGCGGAAAGCGAGGAAGCCCATATAGCGTCATTCCGCGCGCTGTTTGCCGGCGTTCGCGGTATCAAGCGCTCCTCGGGGAGCATAATGAGCTCGACACGAAACGAGCAACAACAACGGGGAGGGCTGCCCTCGCGCGCGAGAAAGGGCGAGGGGGAGGGGGGGGAGAAAGAGAGGAAGGGAGAGAGTCTCGCGTGCGCCAAATCAATCCTCCGAAATGAGCGAGGAGGCTCAGGCAGAAAGCCGGAGAGGTAACTCCGTTGTATAAACCGAGGACAATTCGGTGTGTACCAACATCGGCCAAACTGAATTGCAAATAACATTTGCCGGGATAATTTGTCCAACGCTATCCGTTTATCGGTCGTATTAAACCAGATACGCCGCGACGATATTGTCGGGGACGACGGGAATTTTTAACGGGAAAATAAAATGGAGAAAATAAAAACAGAGAATGATAAGGGAAAATAAGGGAGGGGGGAGGAGGAGATAGAAATCTTTAATTGAGACGATAGAGAACAATAGAGGAAGATTAAATGAGATAAATGTAGAGGCGAGAGCACTAAAACTAAGTACGGTAAACCGACATACCCATGTTTCTCGACTATAAACTATATCCGGTCGGATTGTACATAACTTTGTGTCTGCTGTCTACAGTAGTTGTAGTGGCAGTTTCCGTTTGCAAGCGCGTTCGATCGCGCTATTAGCGGCGCTTGATTTCTCGTTGCGCTGAAGTTTTACTGAGATATCTTCTTGTGAGAGTTAAAGTAACAAATCAGCAGTAAGTAATTTATTTGATAATGCTATTTTATAATGTGAATCTTTAACTTTTCAAGACCACTTTGAATCTTATGCCAAGCTCTATCCTCTGTCACCGAACCACGCGAGAAAAATTGTAGTTAGGTTGTTCTGTGAACCGAGATATCTAAAATGATTTTTTGACAAACCTGAACTTTGAAGTATCATTTTATAGAACACGGGTGAAGCTACTAGTAACTAATCTTCCTCTGTTCTGTTTGTTTGTTTGTTTGTTTAAGATCAGAAAAAAGTCAGATGATCTTTTTTCACATAATAAAGGAGCAATATACATCGCAACATTTTTTAAATCTTAAAAAATATGTAAAATTAAAAATAACATGTAAGAATACATAATAAATGTATAAAATAATATAATTTCAGTGCTTTTATATATTTTTTTTATAATTTTCTATAAATATCATTGGTATGTCAGTTTTAGGGCTCGGTTTAGAATCGTCAGTCTTCAAAACATCTTAAAAAATAATTATTTCCAAAGAAATACATAATAATTTTCATAAGATTATCATATATTTTGATAAAGAAATTTTGCTGGTTGCATTCATGAATATAAATTTTAATTTTACACCTTTAACACACACACACACACACACACACACACAAACACAGAGCTTCAGAACATAAAAGCAAAATGATATGTCGGTTTTAGTGCCTCCTTCTTTCACGGATACTGTTTCGATGAACCTGACTTTGACACATATCGTCGAGAAGGACATGTCAAGATCAAATTCGCTGGAGTTGTGTATGTTAGAACAAGTAATTATTTTACATAAATTAGGAGTATCTTTGGCAGGTAACGATAAAGAAAAGGACTCGGGGCAACGAGAATATCGGCGCGATCGGACGGTATTTTCGTATCGTGTCGATAGCGAAGCGTTTCAAGGCGGTCTCGTGTGGTCGACACGACAGCGTCTCCCCTCGGACTCGAAGGTACACCTAGAATTTCAGGGAAAGGGAGAACGCGCATCGGCGCGTGATATTGTCAATCAACTTTAGCGTAGTCGCCCAATATTGCCCCACGTCTCGTTTACTAAATCGAGAGGGTGCCAGCTCACCTCCTTCCCTTCCGATTGCTGAAACACCTATGGCCGCTACGGCCGCTACCCGGAGGCCACCGTTCGCCTCACCTAATCAGATCGCATAGGTCGTCCTTAACGAAATCCCAGTAACGAATTCAGCGCGAAAATTCAGATGAGACGCGTTTACTTTATGCAGGAATTACATGAACGATAATCAACTCTTATTTCGTGGACTTTCCGAAGCAAGGAGGAGGGGAGGGGGGAACAGACGCGCATTCGATTAATTATTTGACATTGATTAATTCCTTCTTTGTTTTATATATTTTATAAAATGTATGAAACATCAGGAATTATTTCGCGATCTGACCGTGCCGCGATCGTGCGCGCTTCCCGCTTGAAAATCGGCTTTCCCGTCTCGATGTTGATAGGAGCGCAATCGCAGTAAAGGCTATTCTAGTCGCTACGAGAAAGTCAACGTAACGCTCCATTTGTGTCACGAAAGCATGACGGCGGTGCATCGACATCGACGATGACGAATGAAGTCTCTTCCTGACGGAACGTGTTCGCGTTCCCGTGGCTACTTCCCCGAGTTGAAATTCTCGTTCTACGTTAACCCCGCGAATACTGTCGATCTTGAAAGGTCTCGACAGAGAATCTCGGGATAAAATCGAACCTATACAGTTTACAGTCTGACTTTGATGCTACAAATAGTTATTTACCGTCGTTTTCATTTTTCATGAAAGGAGAAGGTCGATAAAGAAACTGCCGAGAACAGAGAAAATATGCTGAGAGAAAGAATGCTCAATCTCGATGAAATTGCATTTTCGGGCCAACAATATTCCTTTGTTACTCTAACGAAAAAATGGTATCAATAATGGGCAAATAATTATTATTACCAACACTATAACAATATTTACCATAAAAAATGGAATTTATAGATATAATTATAATTACACAAGCTACAGTCCAACTTTGATGCCATAAATAATTACATATTGTCTTGTTTTCATTTTTCATGTTGACAAAATAACGTCAATAAAGGAACTACCGAGAACCGAAAATACACGGAGAGAAAGAGTGGTTAACCTCGATGAGATTGCAAATTTTCGGGTCAACAATA